CCTCCGAGCGAGGGCACAACTATAATAAGTGTTCGTGCGTGTCATGTATGTCTTCCAACCCCACGTCTTTCTCCCTTTTATTTACCAACTTATGATGGTTAGATTAGGGCATGTTTTAATTAACATACAGCGTGATAGCATGTTTGCATTCATTCATCTGTTTTGCATGCACCGGGCTCGGCGCATCATACTAACTGCATTTGTATTTCAATTCCGAGTTGAATACTTGTTAGTTGTAGCATTTCATATGCCATCTTTAGAATACCCGAGCCTATCTTAGTTGCATTTTGTATGTGTTGCATTAGGCATTTCTGTATAGTTAGGACCATGCATGGATTTCTAATTAGCTTCTGTTTTGGCTTGGAGTACTCGGTAAGTGGTTATGATTTAGCATTCTTGCACGCGTGTGAGTGACTGCCATGATAGCATGCTTTACCATGAGGCTATTTGCTTATATGATATAATTGCCCGAATGCCTGTGGAGGAAGGTTGGGTTATTTGAATTGGAATAATGCATTGACTGTGAGTTTTAAGCCCACTAGATAGTGGCAAAACCATTTTTTTTAAGTCCACCCGAGGGTGGCAAAATCTATATTTCAAGCCTACTTGCGAGTAGTAAACCACTTTCAAAAACCAAAATGAAATGTTTCGTTCCAATTTAGGCGATCCAGTTTATACTTGTATGCTGTGCGCATCACATAGTAAATCTAGGCTAATAATTGGAATAAGAACGCGTAATGTTTTCAAAACTAGATATCATGGTTAGTAGAAACCGATCTTTGATCGGGCGAGCGGGGGTGCTCATGAAGTGACCTTCCCCAATCGTACCCAAGTTCCCGAGCCGAGGCAACTTTGGTGATGACGGACACGTAGCCTTAGGCAACGAGTCAGGGTTTCCTAAATTTTCCCAAAATAAATATTTAGGTGGCGACTCTGTACCTAGCAAAGCAGTCCATGTTTGGCACTTCTTTCTAAAAAATCTGTTTTCCAAAACGATTTACCGGATTTGGACTCTTTGATGAGTCATCGGTCTTGCATTGCACTCTGCGAGATTAGATACAATACCGTGACACAAATTGAGTCCGAACTGTAGTGAGGCTCAAGGGCGTGTCTACAATAATAAAATAAATAAATGAAAAAAAAAAGAAATATTAAACTAACTACAATCACATTAAAAAAAAAAAAAGAATCATTCAACTAATTATAATCATATTTTTCTCTTTGTGAGAGTTTATATTTATCTAATTTCAATCATATTAAAAAATCAGATTATAATTTTTTATTCGCTAGACAAATCACAAATATTTTTATGCGCTATCTAACTACAATATTAAAACAGTAAACAAAAGGAAAAATCAAGAAGGATAAAACAAAAAGAAGGCTTACTGTTTGCATACGTGGTCACTGAAGTTGAAAGTATAAAAGTGAAAAGTCAATAAGGACAAAACAAAAAGGAGACTCACTGTTTGCAATAGATATGTGAAAAGTTAAAAAGAGTTTGTGTTGTGGAGAAGTTAAAAAGATTTGGAAGAATTTAATAAGTGCTAAGTTTTTTTTTTCAAAAAAAAATCAAAAATATTAAGAAATTAAGGTTCAGATATTGGAACTACCACAAAACTTGTGGGTTAGAGATAAATATAAATAAATATATAGATATAGATATAGATATTTATATTTGTTTTAAATTTTTTTTAATATACAAATTATTTGTTTTGAAAAAGGTACTGCAGTAATTATGAGAAAAGTCAAAAAGTTTTATGAATTGAAAGAAATTAATAGATGCTGAGGTTAATTTTTTTTTAAAAAAAAAACAAAAAATTAGAAAATTAGGATTGACATATTGAAGCTCCCATATGCTTTGGGGGTTAAAAACTCCCTTTTGCTTAATATATAGTATATATATAGATACTAGCCCATCACCCGTGCTATGCACGGGATAATTGTAGATATTTATATTTGTTTTAGATTTTTTTTAATATATAAATGATGTTTTTTAAGATTTTTTATAAAAATAATTTAACAATCTTATCACTAACCATAGTGTATGGGAGAAGTTGAAAATGGTACTGCAGTAACTATATACGGATTGTATCTATAATTATTTGTATAGGGGATTTAAAATACTCATTAGGAGATTTTGACCAAATCAATAAATCTAGGCATGTGGAAAGACATGTGGATTGAAAAAACTTAATAAATGCTGATCAGGGGATTTTAACCAAATCAATAAATGTTAAGTTTTTTAAAAAATGCTAAGTTTTTTTTTCAGATTGAGATATTGAAGCTCTCACAGACCTTGGGGGTTAAGAATGTAACAACCCAGATTTTTAATTATTTTGTAGAATTTATACTAATATTATTTAATCTCAGCTCGGAAAACATATAATTTATTATATATTATTATGCCTAATTTTGTAAAATAATATAATTATTTAAAAGTTTAGTGGTCAAAATATAAATAATAATAATATAGATAATAATAACAATAATAATGGGTGTGGTAGTAAAATAAATAATTTATTTTCTGTTGATATATGATAAAGTGTAATTTAATTAAAAATTAAATTATTTATATAATTATATCAAAATATTGGGTCAAAAAATAATTATCTTAAATATCTATTAAGGATAAGAATGAATCTATATAATTATGAATTAAATCTGAGCGAAAGCGACATCTGCCACGTGTTGAGCACCTGTGGCATCCTCTTCCCTATTTAAGGGAGGAGTTGATCAACCTGCGTGAAGAAAGAAAAAGAAAGAAGAAAGGAAGGAAAAGAAAGAAGAAACAAAGAAAGAAGGAAAGGAAAGAAAGAAAAGAGAGGAAGGAAAAAATAGTAGAAGCTGAAAGGGTCTGTGATAGTAGAAAAAAAAGAGTAATGTATTAACGTTAAGGTGAGTTATATTATACTTTGAGTTACTAAAATGTATTTTACGTATATTTTGACTTACCAAAATCTGTTTTACACAAGTTATGTTTTATTAGTATATTAATAAAAGTTATGTTTTATAAAAGTTTCAGTTACGTGGATTATTTTCTGAACCCTATTTGCTAAAGTGAAACTCATGGATATATTTGTTTTACTTTTAAAGAAAATTTGGTTATGACCTTATAAACAATTGTGTTTTGTAAGTACCACCACGGGAGTCTAATGCCTTGGGGGATTTAAATAACCATTGGCTTCTGTTTGGTTACTTTGTAGTCCTCTGATCCATTGACCTCTGTTCTGTGCGGACCAAAGTGCTGTGCGGAGCTAAGTGCTACACTATTATGGGAGCCACCTCTTGAATCCGTACCTTTATTCTGTGCGGACCAAAGTGCTGTGCGGAGCTAAGTGCTACACTATTGTGAGAGCCACCTCTAGAATCCGTACGAGCCACCTCTTGAATCCGTACCTCTGTTCTGACTGTCACTTCTGTGACCTCTGCTCTGCTCTGTTCTGTTCAGTACCGTAGTTATGGTTATCTATTTATATAATATCTGTATTTCAGTTTCTGCTACTTAAATGATTTCTGCTACTCAAATGATTTGTTTATATAAATGTTTTGGCCTAACTAACTATCTATGGTTATTTCGTGTCCCTTATACTCTTGGTATAATATTTCTAACTCTGCCATGTGCTTATAGTTGTTTACCAATTTTCAGGAAATAATGCAATTCAGAAATAGCTTTTGGAAAGTCTTAGATGCGGAGCTGCGGAATAGACACACATAACACTTTTATTGATGTTTTTCTATGTAAATATTGGCCTTTTTTGTCAATATATTTTGTAATAAAAATAGAAACTCCAATGATTATTTTGGTACTCTTATTTAAATATTACTTCTGCTCGCGTTTATTAATTTGTTTAAGAGTTGGCCGTAGGTAACCTTAGTTACCGGTCATCACGATACTTAACCCTTGGGTACGGGGAGCGGGTCGTGACAAGTGGTATCAGAGCAATGGTTTGTTAAAAAAAAAAAATCATCATTGGAGCATAGGACACGCGCACATTTAAGAACTGGGATAACGAGTAATTAGTACTTAATTATTATATTTTGTTCGTCGATTTAATTATATTATAATTTTATATGATTATACATATATATAATAATAATTTTTTTTTTAGTGTGCCTAATTTGTGAAGGATATTAGATATAATTTATATTTGTCATAGTAAAAGAAAGACAAGAAAAGAAGGATGTCAGGCTCAAGCACCACCAAAATTATAATATAATTAAATATATATAATTTTCAGTTCAGTATTCAAAAAAAAAATTATTTTGACTTTTTAAAAGTGGGTTCAAATTATAAAGATACTAATTTTTGAACTATTTCTCATCAATGAAAAATTTACCTCAAATTTTTTCAACTCTTACATATAATTCTGTCATTGTGTTCTCATTTTATCGTAAACAAAACGAGTGAAAAGTTTTTTAAATCATTCCTTATTTCTTATTTTGTCTCAAAACAATTTTTAACCACTAGACAGTGAGTTATTTTTTGATAAAGTTTTTTTTTGAGGTAATATTTTCTATCAGATTAATCATCTAATATATATTTATCAGAGTACACAGCGGATAACTTATGCATATGACAAATTTCGAGGACGAAATTTTAAAAGGAGAAAAGATTGTAAAAACCCAGATTTTTAATTATTCTCTAGAATTTATACTAATGTTATTTAATCTCAACTCGGAAAACATATAATTTATTATATATTATTATGCGTAATTTTGTAAAATAATATAATTATTTAAAAGTTTAGGGATAATAATAATAATAATAATAATGAGTGTGGCAGTAAAATAAATAATTTATTTTCTGTTGATATATGATAAAGTGTAATTTAATTAGAAATTAAATTATTTATATAATTATATTAAAATACTGAGTCAAAAGAACATTATCTTAAACATCTATTAAGGATAAAAATAAATTTATATAATTATGAATTAAACCTGAGCGAAAGCGACGCCTGCCACGGGTTGAGCGCTTGTGGCGTCCTCACTACAAGAAATATAGGTTTTGGCGGCGTTTTTTTAACGACACTTTTTAAAACGTCGCTTTTCGTAATATTTAGTGGCGTTTTAAAAACGTCGCATATTTCTGTAAATAAAACGGTGTCGTTTTGTAATAGAAGGCGTTGAGACACGCCTCCAAATGCGTTAGACCTCACGCGCCTCTTTTGAATCTGCAAATAATTGTTAAAGCCTATGTAAACCCTTATTTTGAATACTCACGGCTTCAAATCTCGCCTCTCTCACAACCCTCTTTCTTCATCTCACGATGTTGCTCCAGAGTGGTGTCTCTCTCTCTCTCTCTAGATCGATCTCTCGCTGTTAACCCTCTAAGAGATTCATCTTTCATCTTTGAGATTCAGAGATTTAGATCGGTCTCAGTGATTTCATCTCAAAGCGATTTCAATTTCGAAGCTCCAGAGCGGTGTTTCTCTTTCTCTCTCCCTAGATCTCTCTCTATCAACCCTCTCAGAGTTTCATCTCTGAGATTCAGAGATTCAGTCGGTCTCAGTGATTTCATCTCAGAGCGATTTCGATTTCGAAGCGCCAGAGCAGTCTCTCTCTCTAGATCTCTCTCTGTCAACCCTCTCAGAGATTCGTCTTTGAGAGTCAAAGATTCAGAGATCAGTCTCAGTGATTTCATCTCAAAGCGATTTCGATTTTGAAGTTCTCTCTCTTGATTTCGAAGCCCCAGCGAGGTATCGATTTCTCTCTCTCTCAAGCTCTTCCTTCCCGTCTCTCTCGATTTGGTATTTATTTTCTTGGAAAACCTATTCAATTTCTTCTTTTGTTTGCTTTGTCATTCTTCCTTAATATGTTGTGTTTTTGTTTTGAGAAAATGCCAAATGTGCTTGTGATTATGACATTTGTTGGATTTGAGATCATTTGTTGGATTTGTTGGATTTGAGATCATTTTTGGACTTAGTTGATTATTTAGTTTTCTCAGATGGTGATCACAATGGCGGACGTTCTACTCATTCTGCTCATCTTGTTGAGGAAAAGTTGTCTGGCTCTTTCTCTAGGAAGTATGGATTATTTCCCTCTCCGTAGTTATTGCTGTTGTTCGGATCTTCCAGCAATACTGCCACTATACACTTTCTAAATTGAGCTGATTATTTCCTTTTTGAGATAGAAAACTTAAAACCTTTCCTCTACCGTATAAACCCCTGACTTGCTGACTTTTGCAAACCTAGCCTCCCATGAAACCAATTATAGAGAGCCCTAGTCCTAGTCTTCTGAAGTTGTCTTAACTTATGACTACTCATATTGTGTCTAATTTTGGTTCTATTAGGATAGGAAGAATAGAATTTATATTTCTATACTAACTTCTGTGGTATCTATCTGAGAAGCAGCTTTTGAATTGGATTTGCACATGCCTTAGTTTATGAAAAATTGCATTTCCAGAGGAATATATCTTTGGATTGAGGAAAATTGTTTCTTATACTATTTTGAGAATTGATTGCAAAGCAATTCTAAAAAATTTACCAATCAATTATTATCTATTAAATTATTTCTCTGCATGACAACAAATTCATTTGGTGTCACTTTAGAGGATAATATGAACTTAATTATTTTTCCTCTTTTTTTATTTGTTTTCTTCATTCCTCAGTGGTGCATTCCTTGAAGATGCTACGGTTGTATCATGTGGGCATTCATTTGGTGGTCAACTGCTGAGGAAGGTCTTAGAGACCGTAAGTATCAGTCTCTAAGCAATTTATTTTGATAATTGCACATGTTATTTGCTCTGAATGTTGTTTTTTGTTGTTATTTGTTGTTAATGGTCGTAGTTTTATTTTTAAGGGTTTAATGACTTCAAAATATGTACAAATTGGCCTTCATAGAGTTAACAGAAAGATCTACTCAAACTCTATTGCGATCCTACAAAGCTATATTAATGCTTCCCCATTTTTACTTTTGGTATATTTCGTCATATTTGCTACAATATATGTATCATGCAAGTTTGGATTGTGAACACAATTTGTAAAATCTCACAATGTATCCATTGATATATAGAATATTGATGATTTGTATTGCAATAGATACATATGTTTTTAAAATTACAAAGTATCAAGGATCTATAGAAAAATTACAAATTCCACGAAAGGTTTCCATTTATCTCCACCCATCTTTCCAATAACCGCAAAATATTTAATATTCAGATATGTTTCCTTAAACTGTTTCCTGAAATCATCCATGAAGATAAAAAGAAGGCATTGAAATGCAAAGAAAATGGAATGAACAAGACGACATTTTGGTCATTGTACCCATGTTAAAAATGATACTTTGCTCCTCACAGCAATGGGTATGTTGCATTTTGAAATCCGAGGGTGAAAATGTAAAATTGGGCCAAACCAGAGGAGGTGAAAGGTACTTTCACCACAAAAAAAAAGTAACTTCGAAAGAAATTAGCTCTGTAACTATTAGCTGCATATTGTGTGTTGTCTGTTTTAATTCTTGAGAAATTTGATAAATAGAGCGCTTGTGTTATGTTGACAAATAAGAGATGTATTTGGCAATTGTTGGAAGAAATTGGCTCCTTAATTGTTAGATGAATATCTATCTTATGTCACATCTATTATAATTATTGAGAAATTTGTTGAATAGATCCCCTTCATGTTGTGTTCACAAGTAGAGGTCTCTTTGATACTTGCGTGAAGAATGATCAGTTATCCAATGTAATGGAGCTTAATTATTTGTCTTCTCACAGTCAAGGTGTAACCTCTGCAGTGCAGAAATTGACACCAGTTCTTTGATCCCTAACTATGGTACATTTCAGTTTTTCTTTTTAAATCCATTTTTTTTTTTTTTAATGTGAAATTGAATTAATGCTTCATTTGTTATTTGAATGTGAGTTATTATTTTAAATGTTAGTTTTTTTTTAATGTGAAATTGAATTAATGCTTCATTTGTTATTTGAATGGGAGTTATTATTTTAAATGTTAGTTTTTTTTTAATGTGAAATTGAATTAATGCTTCATTTGTTATTTGAATGTGAGTTATTATTTTAAATGTTAGTTTTTTTTTAATGTGAAATTGAATTAATGCTTCATTTGTTATTTGAATGTGAGTTATTATTTTAAATGTTAGTTTTTTTTTAATGTGAAATTGAATTAATGCTTCATTTGTTATTTGAATGTGAGTTATTATTTTAAATGTTAGTTTTTTTTTAATGTGAAATTGAATTAATGCTTCATTTGTTATTTGAATGGGAGTTATTATTTTAAATGTTAGTTTTTTTTTAATGTGAAATTGAATTAATGCTTCATTTGTTATTTGAATGTGAGTTATTATTTTAAATGTTAGTTTTTTTTTAATGTGAAATTGAATTAATGCTTCATTTGTTATTTGAATGTGAGTTATTATTTTAAATGTTAGTTTTTTTTTAATGTGAAATTGAATTAATGCTTCATTTGTTATTTGAATGTGAGTTATTATTTTAAATGTTAGTTTTTTTTTAATGTGAAATTGAATTAATGCTTCATTTGTTATTTGAATGGGAGTTATTATTTTAAATGTTAGTTTTTTTTTAATGTGAAATTGAATTAATGCTTCATTTGTTATTTGAATGTGAGTTATTATTTTAAATGTTAGTTTTTTTTTAATGTGAAATTGAATTAATGCTTCATTTGTTATTTGAATGTGAGTTATTATTTTAAATGTTAGTTTTTTTTTAATGTGAAATTGAATTAATGCTTCATTTGTTATTTGAATGTGAGTTATTATTTTAAATGTTAGTTTTTTTTTAATGTGAAATTGAATTAATGCTTCATTTGTTATTTGAATGGGAGTTATTATTTTAAATGTTAGTTTTTTTTTAATGTGAAATTGAATTAATGCTTCATTTGTTATTTGAATGTGAGTTATTATTTTAAATGTTAGTTTTTTTTTAATGTGAAATTGAATTAATGCTTCATTTGTTATTTGAATGTGAGTTATTATTTTAAATGTTAGTTTTTTTTTAATGTGAAATTGAATTAATGCTTCATTTGTTATTTGAATGTGAGTTATTATTTTAAATGTTAGTTTTTTTTTAATGTGAAATTGAATTAATGCTTCATTTGTTATTTGAATGGGAGTTATTATTTTAAATGTTAGTTTTTTTTTAATGTGAAATTGAATTAATGCTTCATTTGTTATTTGAATGTGAGTTATTATTTTAAATGTTAGTTTTTTTTTAATGTGAAATTGAATTAATGCTTCATTTGTTATTTGAATGTGAGTTATTATTTTAAATGTTAGTTTTTTTTTAATGTGAAATTGAATTAATGCTTCATTTGTTATTTGAATGTGAGTTATTATTTTAAATGTTAGTTTTTTTTTAATGTGAAATTGAATTAATGCTTCATTTGTTATTTGAATGGGAGTTATTATTTTAAATGTTAGTTTTTTTTTAATGTGAAATTGAATTAATGCTTCATTTGTTATTTGAATGTGAGTTATTATTTTAAATGTTAGTTTTTTTTTAATGTGAAATTGAATTAATGCTTCATTTGTTATTTGAATGTGAGTTATTATTTTAAATGTTAGTTTTTTTTTAATGTGAAATTGAATTAATGCTTCATTTGTTATTTGAATGTGAGTTATTATTTTAAATGTTAGTTTTTTTTTAATGTGAAATTGAATTAATGCTTCATTTGTTATTTGAATGGGAGTTATTATTTTAAATGTTAGTTTTTTTTTAATGTGAAATTGAATTAATGCTTCATTTGTTATTTGAATGTGAGTTATTATTTTAAATGTTAGTTTTTTTTTAATGTGAAATTGAATTAATGCTTCATTTGTTATTTGAATGTGAGTTATTATTTTAAATGTTAGTTTTTTTTTAATGTGAAATTGAATTAATGCTTCATTTGTTATTTGAATGTGAGTTATTATTTTAAATGTTAGTTTTTTTTTAATGTGAAATTGAATTAATGCTTCATTTGTTATTTGAATGGGAGTTATTATTTTAAATGTTAGTTTTTTTTTAATGTGAAATTGAATTAATGCTTCATTTGTTATTTGAATGTGAGTTATTATTTTAAATGTTAGTTTTTTTTTAATGTGAAATTGAATTAATGCTTCATTTGTTATTTGAATGTGAGTTATTATTTTAAATGTTAGTTTTTTTTTAATGTGAAATTGAATTAATGCTTCATTTGTTATTTGAATGTGAGTTATTATTTTAAATGTTAGTTTTTTTTTAATGTGAAATTGAATTAATGCTTCATTTGTTATTTGAATGGGAGTTATTATTTTAAATGTTAGTTTTTTTTTAATGTGAAATTGAATTAATGCTTCATTTGTTATTTGAATGTGAGTTATTATTTTAAATGTTAGTTTTTTTTTAATGTGAAATTGAATTAATGCTTCATTTGTTATTTGAATGTGAGTTATTATTTTAAATGTTAGTTTTTTTTTAATGTGAAATTGAATTAATGCTTCATTTGTTATTTGAATGTGAGTTATTATTTTAAATGTTAGTTTTTTTTTAATGTGAAATTGAATTAATGCTTCATTTGTTATTTGAATGGGAGTTATTATTTTAAATGTTAGTTTTTTTTTAATGTGAAATTGAATTAATGCTTCATTTGTTATTTGAATGTGAGTTATTATTTTAAATGTTAGTTTTTTTTTAATGTGAAATTGAATTAATGCTTCATTTGTTATTTGAATGTGAGTTATTATTTTAAATGTTAGTTTTTTTTTAATGTGAAATTGAATTAATGCTTCATTTGTTATTTGAATGTGAGTTATTATTTTAAATGTTAGTTTTTTTTTAATGTGAAATTGAATTAATGCTTCATTTGTTATTTGAATGGGAGTTATTATTTTAAATGTTAGTTTTTTTTTAATGTGAAATTGAATTAATGCTTCATTTGTTATTTGAATGTGAGTTATTATTTTAAATGTTAGTTTTTTTTTAATGTGAAATTGAATTAATGCTTCATTTGTTATTTGAATGTGAGTTATTATTTTAAATGTTAGTTTTTTTTTAATGTGAAATTGAATTAATGCTTCATTTGTTATTTGAATGTGAGTTATTATTTTAAATGTTAGTTTTTTTTTAATGTGAAATTGAATTAATGCTTCATTTGTTATTTGAATGGGAGTTATTATTTTAAATGTTAGTTTTTTTTTAATGTGAAATTGAATTAATGCTTCATTTGTTATTTGAATGTGAGTTATTATTTTAAATGTTAGTTTTTTTTTAATGTGAAATTGAATTAATGCTTCATTTGTTATTTGAATGTGAGTTATTATTTTAAATGTTAGTTTTTTTTTAATGTGAAATTGAATTAATGCTTCATTTGTTATTTGAATGTGAGTTATTATTTTAAATGTTAGTTTTTTTTTAATGTGAAATTGAATTAATGCTTCATTTGTTATTTGAATGGGAGTTATTATTTTAAATGTTAGTTTTTTTTTAATGTGAAATTGAATTAATGCTTCATTTGTTATTTGAATGTGAGTTATTATTTTAAATGTTAGTTTTTTTTTAATGTGAAATTGAATTAATGCTTCATTTGTTATTTGAATGTGAGTTATTATTTTAAATGTTAGTTTTTTTTTAATGTGAAATTGAATTAATGCTTCATTTGTTATTTGAATGTGAGTTATTATTTTAAATGTTAGTTTTTTTTTAATGTGAAATTGAATTAATGCTTCATTTGTTATTTGAATGGGAGTTATTATTTTAAATGTTAGTTTTTTTTTAATGTGAAATTGAATTAATGCTTCATTTGTTATTTGAATGTGAGTTATTATTTTAAATGTTAGTTTTTTTTTAATGTGAAATTGAATTAATGCTTCATTTGTTATTTGAATGTGAGTTATTATTTTAAATGTTAGTTTTTTTTTAATGTGAAATTGAATTAATGCTTCATTTGTTATTTGAATGTGAGTTATTATTTTAAATGTTAGTTTTTTTTTAATGTGAAATTGAATTAATGCTTCATTTGTTATTTGAATGGGAGTTATTATTTTAAATGTTAGTTTTTTTTTAATGTGAAATTGAATTAATGCTTCATTTGTTATTTGAATGTGAGTTATTATTTTAAATGTTAGTTTTTTTTTAATGTGAAATTGAATTAATGCTTCATTTGTTATTTGAATGTGAGTTATTATTTTAAATGTTAGTTTTTTTTTAATGTGAAATTGAATTAATGCTTCATTTGTTATTTGAATGTGAGTTATTATTTTAAATGTTAGTTTTTTTTTAATGTGAAATTGAATTAATGCTTCATTTGTTATTTGAATGGGAGTTATTATTTTAAATGTTAGTTTTTTTTTAATGTGAAATTGAATTAATGCTTCATTTGTTATTTGAATGTGAGTTATTATTTTAAATGTTAGTTTTTTTTTAATGTGAAATTGAATTAATGCTTCATTTGTTATTTGAATGTGAGTTATTATTTTAAATGTTAGTTTTTTTTTAATGTGAAATTGAATTAATGCTTCATTTGTTATTTGAATGTGAGTTATTATTTTAAATGTTAGTTTTTTTTTAATGTGAAATTGAATTAATGCTTCATTTGTTATTTGAATGGGAGTTATTATTTTAAATGTTAGTTTTTTTTTAATGTGAAATTGAATTAATGCTTCATTTGTTATTTGAATGTGAGTTATTATTTTAAATGTTAGTTTTTTTTTAATGTGAAATTGAATTAATGCTTCATTTGTTATTTGAATGTGAGTTATTATTTTAAATGTTAGTTTTTTTTTAATGTGAAATTGAATTAATGCTTCATTTGTTATTTGAATGTGAGTTATTATTTTAAATGTTAGTTTTTTTTTAATGTGAAATTGAATTAATGCTTCATTTGTTATTTGAATGGGAGTTATTATTTTAAATGTTAGTTTTTTTTTAATGTGAAATTGAATTAATGCTTCATTTGTTATTTGAATGTGAGTTATTATTTTAAATGTTAGTTTTTTTTTAATGTGAAATTGAATTAATGCTTCATTTGTTATTTGAATGTGAGTTATTATTTTAAATGTTAGTTTTTTTTTAATGTGAAATTGAATTAATGCTTCATTTGTTATTTGAATGTGAGTTATTATTTTAAATGTTAGTTTTTTTTTAATGTGAAATTGAATTAATGCTTCATTTGTTATTTGAATGGGAGTTATTATTTTAAATGTTAGTTTTTTTTTAATGTGAAATTGAATTAATGCTTCATTTGTTATTTGAATGGGAGTTATTATTTTAAATGTTAGTTTTATTACAGATATTTGAATGGGAGTTAATATTTTGTATGTTAGTTTTATTATAGGTATTTTTTTATTAATTGAATGAGAAACTAAATTCAATATTTTTTACAGGTATTCTTTTTAATTTAATCAAATAAAATTAGCATAATATCCCCCTCCCAAAAAAAAAAGGAAGATATGATGGCGTTTCTACAAACGCCTCCTAATCCCTCAACAGTAACGGTAATATTTTTAAAACAGATACGACGGCGTTTCAAAAACGTCGCTAAATATTGTTGGTGACGTCAGCGTGTGTGTGGTGGGACATTTGGCGGCGTTTTAAAAAACGCCGCCTGTACTAATATCACGACGTTTTTAAAACGTCGCAAAGCTACAGCGACGGCCGCAGCTTCGACGTTTGGTACTAAACGCCACAAAAGGAATTAGGGGCGTTTTTGATACATATGGCGGCGTTTTTTAAACGCCGCTAAAAGTGCGATTTCCAGCAGTGCCTCCTCCCTATTTAGGGGAGGAGTTGATCAACCAGCGTGAAGAAAGGAAAAGAAAAAAGGAAGAAAAAGAAAGAAGAAAGGAAGAAAAAGAAAGAAAGAAGAAAGGAAAGAAAAGAAAGAAGAAAGAAAGAGAGAAGGAAAGGAAAGAAAGAAAAGAGAGGAAGGAAAAAATAGTAGAAACTAAATGGGTTTGTGATAGTGAAAAGAAAGAGTAAGGTATTAACGTTAAGGTGAGTTATATTATACCTTGAGTTACCAAAATTTATTTTACGTATCTTTTGACTTACCAAAATTTGTTTTACACAAGTTATGTTTTATTAGTATATTAATAAAAATTATGTTTTATAAAGGTTTCAGTTACGTAGATTATTTTCTGAACCCTATTTGCTAAAGTGAAACTCATGGATATGTTTGTTTTACTTTTAAAGAATATTTGGTTATGACCTTATAAACAATTATGTTTTGTAAGTACCACCACGGAAGTCTAATGCTTTGGGGGACTTAAATAACTATTGGCCTTTGTTTGGTTACTCTGTGATCCTCTGATCCATTGACCTCTGTTCTGTGCGGACCAAAGTGCTGTGCAGAGTTAAGTGCTACACTATTGTGGGAGCCACCTCTAGAATTTGTACGAGCTACCTCTTGAATCCGTACCTCTGTTCTGTGCGGACCAAAGTGCTGTGCGGAGTTAAGTGCTATACTATTGTGGGAGCCACCTCTAGAATCCGTACGAGCCACCTCTTGAATCCGTACCTCTGTTCTGACTGTCACTTCTGTGACCTCTGTTCTGTTCTGTTCCGTTCAGTACCGTGGTTATGGTCATTTACTTACATAATTTATGTATTTCAGTTCAGCTACTTAAATGATTTATTTACCAAACTGAGTTATATAAATGTTTTGGCCTAACTAACTATCCATGGTTATTTCGTGTTCCTTATACTCTTGGTATAATATTTCTCACTCTGCCATGTGCTTATAGTTGTTTACCAATTTTCAGGAAATAATGCAATTCAGAAATAGCTTTTGGAAAGCCTTAGATGCGGGGCTGCGAAATAGACACACATGGCACTTTTATTGATATTTTTCTATGTAAATATCAGTCTTTTTGGTCAATATATTTTGCAATAAAAATAGAAGCTCCAATGATTATTTTGGTACCCTTATTTAAATATTACTTCCGCTCGCGTTTATTAATTTGTTTAAGAGTTGGCCGTAGGTAACCTCAGTTACTGGCCATTACGATACTTAACCCTTGGATACGGGGAGCGGGTCGTGACCAAAAATCCCCTTCTGCTTAATATATAGTATAGATAGATAGATAGATAGATAGATATAGATATTTATATTTTATTATTTCTAAACTAATTAAATAAATAAATTAGCCAATAGGTTTTTTTAATCTATTTTATAAATTGAAAAATCAATAATTTTAGAATGAGAGTTTGGAGCTCTTAGGAGGCTTCTCATTAGAAATCTCATTTTTCTTATACAATATATAAATAGATATAGATATTTATATTTGTTTTAGATATTTTTTTAATATATAAATTATATTTTTGCAATTTTTTATAAAAATTATTTAACAATCCCATCACTAACTATAGTATATAAGAGAAGTTGAAAATGGTGTTGTAGTAACTATGAGATAAGTAAAAAATGTTTGTGGATTGGAATAAGTAAATAAATGCTGAGATTATTTATTTTTTTAAATCAAAAAGTTAGAAAATTAGGATTGAAATTTTAAAGCTCCGACAAAACTTGTTGATTAAAAATCTCATTTTTTTATATAATATAGTTAATAAATAAATACAATAAGTCGATTTATTGGTGAATTAATCCGGTCTTCAAATTTCAAATCTATACAAAAGTCACACGCTACGCTAGTACAAACCCCAAAAAACACAATCCGCGAAACTACTCACTAACCAACTCTCCACCGTCGATCCACCTACTATGGACGACTCACAACTCTTCAAACCCCTCGACACGGATCGTCATCGTCACCCGTCGATTACTCCTCTCAATCCAACGATCCACATCTTCCCGCCTCAAACTCTTGCCATATATAAAAACGCCCATCGCCTTCTTATCCCCCTCATCTCATCATCACTAAGATTTCGAAATTATCTCTCTCCTCTGAAACCCTAGAAATCTTCTCTCTCTAAAAATGTCTGGCAGAGGAAAGGGTGGTAAGGGATTGGGCAAGGGAGGAGCAAAGAGGCACAGGAAGCTCCTTCGAGACAACATCCAGGGAATCACCAAGCCTGCGATTCGGCGTCTGGCTCGGAGAGGGGGGGTCAAGAGGATCAGCGGACTCATCTACGAGGAGACTCGTGGTGTTCTCAAGATCTTCCTAGAGAACGTGATTCGTGATGCTGTCACCTACACTGAGCATGCTCGGAGGAAGACTGTGACCGCCATGGATGTGGTCTATGCTCTGAAGAGGCAGGGAAGGACTTTGTATGGGTTTGGGGGTTGAGTTTTGTATTGTTGCTACATATAGGCTATGGGTAATATTGTAAGATGGGTTATGTAATATAGGATGATATGTTGTTGATTGTAAATGGACATTGTGAATAGGCATATTCATTATTGAATTATGGATTATGTTGTCAGAAAGAACTAGAATGCTTGTGGATGTGGTCATGTTATGAGACTGTTGTTAGATTGTTATGGTTTTGGTGATTAGTAATTCATATTGTGTTTTGGAAACGTTTTGAAAATGTAAGAAAAACTCATTGTTAAACGGTGGTGCATGGAGCACATTTTGAAAGAAGTGGGTTAATGCATTTAACTATTAATAGTCATAATTGTGATAATTGGACTAGGTGTATGTATTACACCCGTGTACTATTTTTGTTGGTTAGCGTGTTGTGCTTTTAATTGTATGTTATTTGGGAGGTCCGTTTCTCTCCTGATGAGGCCGGTAAAGCGTAATGCATTAATAGAGGTTTCTTTTCCCTACCAGTTTGCGCCTGGTGAAGTGTGAAATGAGGTCCGTTTCTCTCCAGGTGAGGTCAGTAAAGCATGACACATTGACATAGGTTTCCTCTCACTTACGGTTTGCGCCGGGAAAAGTGTGACCTGAGGGGCACCCTCGTATGGGTGAGGCCAATAAAGTGTTATAGATTATTTGTGTTGTAGGATCTTCCATCCATGTTGTAGGCCGATGGAGATGAAATTGGAAGTATATATTACTTCAGTTATTTCTTTTGAATGTATTCGTGTTGTGGTTGTCCCTTGCCCTTAGGCCTATGGCCAAGGAAGATAATAGAGGTATTGGTGTGTAGATGCATATAGTGTGTTGAGATATGGGGCTAGGTTATGACTTGCATGCGGAGTTGTGTTTTCAGAACAGGTGTTTAAGTGAGATTATTTTATTTTAACATTGAAGGTTTTATCAAAAGAGGAATGAGGTTTTGAAATGTGTTTTGGAAGCAAAACGAGGGTTTAAAAGGGAAGATTGGTTTTTATGCTGTGTTGAGTAAAGCGGAACTTTTTGGAAAAAACTTATTTATATGAGTATACTTTCGGATATTAATTGTCACATTACTTATAAGGTATATCATGGTGCATGTATGATCATCTCTAGCTATATGTTGTGATTAGTTAAGATTTTATTATAAATATTTATATTTATTTTAGATTTTTTTAGTATATAAATTATGTTTTTAAAGATTTTTTATAATAATAATTTAACAATCTTATCACTAACCATAGTGTATTGGAGAAGTTAAAAATGATATTGCAGTAACTATGCACAGGTTATATCTATAATTATATGTATGAGGGGATTTTAAATGTTGATTAGAGAATTTTGACCAAATCAATAAATTCAAGCATGTGGAAAGACATGTGAATTGAAAAAAGGGGATATATATGTAAATTGTGATTTTTAAATGTCTTCTTTTTCTTTTTTCTTTTTTATATCAAAAATGCTAGAGACCCTAAAAATTTAACAAAAGTTTTACCAAATGTCTCACATGGGTGTGAGACCCACATGGGACCCACATTGTGTGGGTCCCGCATCCATGTGAGACATTTGGTAAAACTTTTGGTAGAATATTTGGAGTCTCTAGCATTACTCTTTTTATATTATATTAAAGTTTAATATTTTGATAATAATCATATGTGTTGGACTTTTAATGAATTAAATGCATTTTTTTTATATTATATTAAAGTTTAATATTTTGATAATAATCATATGTGTTGAACGTTTCAATGAATTAAATGTCTTGTTTTTTTATGTTATATTAAAGTTTAATATTTTGATAATAATCATATGTGTTATACTTTTCAATAAATTTTTTTTATGCTTGTTCTTAATGCATTAAAGTATTATTATGAGGGATAATAATCATATGTGTTGGGACTTTTCAAAAAATTCATATGTGTTGGACTTTTCAAGGAATTCATATGTGTTGAACTTTTCAAGGAATTCATAAGTATTGGACTTTTCAAGGAATTTTTTTATACTTATTTTTAATGCATTAAAGTGTTATTATAAGGGTAAGGCTTGGGGGTTGTGAGAAATTAATAAATGCTAAGATTTTTTTTTTTAAATAAAAAACTCAAGAAATTTAGATTGGGATATTGAAACTTCCACAAAACTTGTGGGTTAGAGATAGATATAAATAAATAGATAGATATAGATATAGATATTTATATTTGTTTTAAATTTTTTTTAATATACACATTATTTGTTTTGGAAAGGGTGCTGCAGTAATTATGAGAAAAGTCAAAAAGTCTAATGGGTTAAGAGAAGTTAATAAATGCTGAAGTTAATTTTTTTTATAAAAAAATAAAAAATTAGAAAATTAGGATTGACATTTTGGAGCTTCCACAACCCTTGGGGGTTAGAAACCCCCTTTTGCTTAATATATAGTATAGATACTAGCCTATCACTCGTGCTATGCACGGGATAATTATAGGTATTTTATGTTAGCAGTGGCTTTGGTCCAGTCCAAGATCGGACTGGACCGTGCTGTTGGGTCCGTGGGGGCCCATCACGGGTCCCGTTTTGATAATCCGAACCGTTCAATTTACAGAACTCGTCGAGTACTATATGCCTGTAAAAGTCACGTTGATCGGATATCGATAGCTATGTGAACAAAACAGTTTTTTATCAACCGTTAATTTTTTCACCGTCCATTTTTTTTTATACAAAACTGATTTGATCACATAACTATTGATATTCGATCAATTTAATTTTTTATAGGCATATAGTACTCAACGAGTTTTACACATTGACGGTTCGGATTATCAAAACGAGCCCAAAAAATAAGCCCCATAGGCCGAACTGGACAGGTCCAGTCTTGATCTCAACTTGAGACAAGCTGGACCCTTTTATATTTGTTTTAGATTTGTTTTAATATATAAATTATGTTTTTTAAGATTTTTCATAAAAATAATTTAATAATCTTATCACTAACAATAGTGTATGGGAGAAGTTAAAAAGGGTACTACAGTAACTATACATGGATTGTATCTATAATTATTTGTATGATGGAATTTTAAATCCTGATTAGAGAATTTTGACCAAATCAATAAATGAGTGGAAAGACATGTGGATTGAAAAAATTTAATAAATGTTGATCAGGGGATTTTAACCAAATCAATAAATGCTGAGATTTTTTTTTAAATAAAAAATAAAAAATTTAGAAAATTCAGATTGAGATATTGAAACTCTCACAGGTCTTGGGGGTTGAAAACTCCTTTTTGTTTAATATATAGTATAGATAATATATAACTTAATATATATATATATATATATAAATTATAAGATGAGAGAAATAAAATGTTATCTTATTATAATGGATGAGATCTTATAAAAAAAATGTATAGACATGAATGCCCTCCTATTTTATTGTGTTTACAATTATCTATATATGTGAATTGTGATTTTTAATTTTTTTTTTTAAATGTCTTCTTTTTTTTCTTTTTTATATTATATTAAAGTTTAATATTTTGATAAAAATCATATGTGTTGGGATTTTTCAAGGAATTCATATGTGTTGGATTTCAAAGAATTTTTTTTATGCTTGTTCTTAATGCATTAAAGTGTTATTATGACGGGATAAATAATCATATGCGTTGGGACTTTTCAAGGATTCATACATGTTTGGATTTCAAAGAATTTTTTTTTATAACTTGTTTTTTAATGCATTAAAGTGTTATTATGAAGAGTAGACCTTGGAGTTAGGGAGATGTTAATAAATGCCTTAAGATTTTTTTTTTTTCAATAAAAAAATCATAGAGAATTTAGACTGGGCGGATTGGAGCTCCACAAAGCTTGGGGTTAAAAATCCCCTTTGCTTAATAATATAGTAAAGATAGCTATCACCCGTGCTATGCAGGGGATAATTATAGATATTTTATATTTGTTTTAGATTTTTTTTAATATATTAATTATGTTTTTTAAAGATTTTATAAAAAAATAATTTAAGCAAATCTTATTGCCTAACCATAGTGTATGAGAGAAGTTAAAAAGATACTCAGTAACTAACACGGATTGTATCTTAATTATTTTGTATGAAGAGATTTTAAATGTTGATTAAGAATTTTGACCAAATCAAGTAAATGCAGGCATGTGGACAAGACATATGAATGAAAAAAGTTAATAAATGCTTCAAGTGGATTTTGACCAAATCATAAATGCTAAGTTTTTTTTTTAAATAAAAAATTTTAAAAATTTCAGATTGGGTATATTGAAGCTCCCACAGCCTTGGGGTTCAAAAATCGCATTTTTGCTTAATATATAGTATAAGACTAGCATATCACCCGTGCTTGCACAGATTGTGTTTTAATTATTCTATTTATATGTGAATTGTGATTTTTAAATGTTTTTTTTTTTAATGTCTTCTTTTTTCTTTTTTATATTATATTAAAGTTTAATTTTTAATAAATAATCATATGTGTTGGACTTTTTCAAAAAATTAATGTCTTTTTTTTTTTAATTATATTATTTAAAGTTTAATATTTTGATAGTAATCATATGTGTTTGAACTTTTCAAATTTTTTTTTTTTTATACTTGTTCTTAATGCATATAAGTGTTATTATGAGGGTAAGATTTTGGAAAATTGTGAGAAGTTTAATGCTAAGATTTTTTTTTTTTTAAATCAAAAAATCAGAAAATTTAGATTGAGAGCATTTGAGCTCCCATAAGGCCTTGGGTTAAAAACTCTCTTTTTTTGGCTTAAATATATAGTAAGTGTAGATGATAGATGAGATAGAATAGATATATAGATTAGAAGATATAGATAATCTTTTTTTAGGGAAAAAATTATTGTAAATCCCATTTAAGAAGTGTTTTAACCCAAGAATCGCTGAAG